AGAAGTGTTTTAATTTGGAGGAAATAGATAGTAAGTGTGTTCTTGGTAGGATAAGTAATTTTGATTTAAGATTCTAGATCAGTTTAAACTATTTTAGCTAGTTTTCTTGGTAGTACTTAAGTGGTAGAGAGGGGATGATTATTGCCTTTTGCTTCCAAGTTATGATTAAGTTCTACTCTCTCCTTTCAGCTACCCTTCATTCCCAAGAGAGGGAGTTTCTTATGACTCTGGAGCTGTGTTGAGAGTTCTAGCAGTTCTCCTGATTTCTGTAGGCATATCTTTATTGTCAGATTAGAGTAGAAGTCCAAGTTTCCCCATGTGGTCCCCAATAACACCCTGAGAAGGGGCTTGTTACTTGCTAGTAGGGACGAACCTGATCCTTACCAGTTTTTCTTTGACACCACCATTGTGGGTGAGCTTGAGCTGCTCATTACAGCCTCAGGTTGGAAATTCAGCTCTCCATTGTTGACAGAGGTTAGCTTGGGGTCACAGGGGTTTCTGTTATGTGAAAGTCAGGTTGGCTGTTTCCTAAGCATTTTCCCTGTTGCTAGTGATGCAGAGTTTTTAGAGTGACAGGATCTTTCATGGCCCAGTTGTACATGGTACAAGGATCTAAGATGCCAGACACTCAATGTCATCCAAGATCAAACTGGGGAAGTGGCTCCTACGCCAGTGAGAATTAAAGATACAACTCTTCCTGAGAGTAAGCAAAGCAGAAGCAGACTTTATTAAGAAAAGTGAGAAACTGAGGAAAAGTGAGAGAAACTCCTGAGTGTTGGAAAAAGTTTCCGAAAGAATAAAAGTCCAGGGTTCTTATAGGGCAATAGCAGAAACTGGGCAAAGGCTGAGGTAATCTCCTTGGGGATTGGTTAATTCCCTGGGCTATTATGGGCTGAGCCAATAGAAGACCTGCAGGCTCTAGGCATGTTCTTCTGACGCAAGCAGGGTCGTACTCTGTTCATGTCCTGTCCACCCAATCATGGGTAGTTGAAGCCCGCCTCTATCCATCTCTCCCCTGGACCTGAACTATCTGCTGGCTGTTAGTTACTTGGCCAGCATTGCTATCTTCTGACCTTGTAGATGTCTTGTTAATTGTTGATTGTACTAAACTCTCTGTTCTCAGAGCTGCCAAGAAGTAGCTGCAGTGTTTTTCATTCCTTTTGTCTGTGAAATGGTCTGGGTCTCTTTCCTGAAGTGGGGCAGGCATTTTAGAATCCCTTCTTACTTGCTACTTAGTCTATTACAATTATTTGCATTAGAAACAATGTATTAAAGGCAAGAATATGTAATAAGCAATAGTGCCTAGCATGTTTCTCCCAAAGGGAAGAGGTTGCATGGAAGTTAGCCAGCTGACCCTCCAGTCACTGGCTTTGCTTCTTGGAGCCTGTTTGTCTCTTCTCAGGTCTGCTGGGCTATCTCCAACCCAAATTTATTCCATTGTTACTTATATAATACATTTTATGTGTTTAGGCTTTCATTTGTTCTTGAACTTGTGTTTTGATTTTACCTTTTGGCTGTTGGTGGTAATGCTGCTATGAACACAAATACACAAATATCTGGTTAGGGTCCTGCATTACTGCTTTTGGGTATGCACCCAGGAGTGGAATTATGGTCATATATTGCTTAAATTTTTTGAGAACTCGCCATACCATTTTCCACAGCAGCTATACTATTGTTCGATACTACTGGTAACATTCATGCATTTAAAAAAATAATCAAAATCACTTTGTTATAATTAGCTCACAAATAAAAACATCACAAAACTAGCTAGTTTAAGAAAGCCACTCAAGGGGACTAGATAGATGGCGCAGCGATTAAGAGCACTGGCTGCACTTGCAGAGGACCTTGGTCGATTCCCAGCATCCACATGGAAGTTGGCAACCACCCATAACTCCAGTTCCAGGGGATCTGACACCCTCTACTGACCTCCGTGGGCACTGCATGATATTGGTGCACTTAACATACATGCAAGCAATACACTCATACATACAAAAATAATAATGAAGTATATTAAAAAAAACTTTAAAAAAGAAAAAAGAAAGCCACTCAATCACTTGCCTAGTCCTAAATTCGTACATCTAGGGGCACTTCTGTACAGTTAGAACAGCCATTCTGAAGCAGTAGAGCTTCACTTAGGGCTTTACACTTCTACTATCAATCACATTTTTGTTCACTTTATCACACACACACAAAAATATGACAGAGTTGACATTCTTTGTGAAGACAATAAATGATTTTCTGGGTCCTAGGAACTGAACTGAGTGCTAGAGGTGTACTGGTAATGTTGAAGATAAAGCTATACCTCAGTCTCTGTTAGACCCAAGCTACTTGAAACATTTTTACATAGAGCTGGAGAGAAAATGCAAGCCTCTTCAAGACCAAACTGGCTCTGATGGAGAAAAGTGTCATGTACTCTCACCCTAATGTTCCTTTGACCTTTTTTTGAGCAAGGTCTGTGTATACAAAAACACCTACCCACTAGTGACTTCCTATCTTCCTTAGAGCAATATTTTCTAATTTCTTCTTAAAATATTTTATTATGTGTACAAATGTTTTGCCTGCTTTTGTGTTAAGTGTACCCATGCCATGCAATGCCTGGGGAGGCCAGAAGAGGGCATCATATCCCCTGGAACTGGAGTTAGAGATGGTTGTTAGCTGCCATGTGGGTGCTGGGAATTGAACCTGGGTTTTCTGAAAGAGCAGTGTCCTAGTTTGTTTCTCCATTGCTGTGACAAAACACACTGACCACTACCAACTTGTGGAGGAAAGGGTTTATTTGTCTTACATCTCTCAGGTCACAGTTCATCAGGGAGCCCAAGGGCAGGAACCTGGAGGTAGGAGCTGGAGCACAGGCCACGGAGGATCGCTGCTTACTGACTTGCTCCCCTGGCCCCTGCTCAGCCTGCTTTCTTATGCAACACAGGCCCACCTGCCCAGGGATGGTACCACCCACAGTGGGCTGGGCCCTCCCTCAATACTCAACAATCAAGAAGGTGCCCCATGGATATGGCCACAGGCCAGTCCAATGAAGGAAATTCCCCCAATTGAGGCTCCCTCAACCCAGGTGTGTCAAGCTGACACTAAAGCTGCCCAGCACAAGCAGCGAGTGCCCTTGCCTGCTAAATCATCTCTCCAGACCCTTCTGATTTTTTTTTTTTCCTAGAAAAATGCGTTTGTTTCCTCAATGTATCTCTAGCACCTGCCTCAGTGTCTGGCACTATATAACTGACAAATACATACACTGAGTATCTGCCAATAGAAAGTAAAAATTAACACCCTCTTTTCATATTTTTATATATAAAATGGAGGAATATTTTTAAGGGAAATTTTATTATAATAGCTGATGTGCTTTTTAAAACTCTTTTATTGCCTTGATGTTAGACATTTGAACTCTGTAGACTGCCTTTACTTCTCCTACCTTAAAACCAACCCAGGAAGCTGCTCAGTTAATGTGTCAGCAGTGGTCAAAGAAACATACTTGTAGCTGGACCTGGTGGCACAAGCCTTTAATTCCAGCACTTTGAAAGCAGACAGGCAGACCTCTGTGAGATAGAGGTCATTCTGGTCTCTATAGTGAGTTCCAGGCCAGCTGGGGCTATAGGGACACCCTGTCTTCAAAAGAAAAAGAAAGAAAGAAAGAAAGAAAAAGCATACTTTTATCAATGAATGGTATTCTGGAACCTGGAATGAGGAGAAAATTACTGTATATGGCTTGCCATTTCTAAAAAATCCTGACCAACATGGTGGCCTTCTAATGGAATATGACATGTTCTTCCAGACATTGTGTCTTCAATAGTCAAGGACCTTCTTAAGGAAACATCTTTTTGCTTTGTGGAATCAAGAACTGTATTACCCATGTTTTGATAAGATACTGAAAACTTAATTAAAAGTCTTGAGAGTTTACTGGTGTAAATATGAATCCTGTATAAACATGTATATTTTGAAGGACTGTTAAATTGCATAAATAGAGATGGGTGAAATAAATAGGCAAATGGGTTTTAAAATATTAGATGAAGCAAAAACTATTTCATTTCTCCCAAATCAGAACTGTCTTATTTTGCTTATAATTTTTTTTGTGGAGTCAGTAGATAACTTTTCTAGTAAAGTACTGAACTATCCAAGCACTTTATTTTTTTATATCTTTAAATGATTAATATGATAGGTTCTTATAATGAAAATTAAAATTCCTAAGTATACATGTCATGTGTAGAAGAGAATAAAATCCAAAATCCTAATGTGGTTATTATGTTTAAATCAACTTCTGAAATACTGTTTTTCAGGGTGGATACTAAAAGAATATATACAATTATAGTAACATATAATAATATATAACTGATTTTTTTTAAAGTATACGAGCATTTCTTGGTAACATACTTGTATTATTCTTAAAGCAGACCTTTTCTTCATAAAAGAAAAGAAATGACAAAAACTCCTATGGAAATCCCAATAGCCTGAATTACTGCTGTTTTAGAAATAGACTTTTTAGAATATCATATATGATTTTATTCAAGTTGATTATATGTCTTAAGAGTTAATAAATCACAGGCTCATTTTTGGTTATTTATTTATTTATTTATTAGTCTTTTTGAGACAGGGTCCCCCTGTAGCCCCAGCCAGCGTGGAACTCGCTTTGTAGACCAGGCTGGCCTCAAACTCACAGAGATCTGCCTGCCTCTGCCTCCCAAGTACTGGAAGGTGTGCGCCACCACGCCCGACCATTAGTTTAAAATAATAAGTATGTTTTTAGAAAAGGTACTATTACTTGGAAGTAATTTTTCAACTACATTGTCTTCTGTGACTTACTCATAATATGATAAGCATGCCTTATATAATTTTTCTAAATACAATCATCACTATTGTGTTAAATCAAAATATATGGAAAATAAACATTACTGCTAATGGATACTATTGCTATTACTTGTTATGCATGTTAGTATTTTACTTTTTCATTTGTATAGATTGTATGTCTGAATTAAAGAAATGCTGTGGTTATTTTTTAGAATCTAGTCATTTGGAACGGCAGCTTGAAGAAGCTAATTCTGTGAGACGAGAGCTAGATGATGCTGCTAGGCAAATCAAGGCTTATGAAAAGCAAATGAAAACTCTGCAGCAAGAACGAGAAGAGCTAAATAAGGTAAGCGTATATGAATGGACCCTTACACCCTTTTCTACATTCTTCATCTTCTATAACTAGAATATTGAAAGTATTCCTAATAAGTATACTTTTTAATAAAAGTTTAGTTTACTGTAATGAAATTTGTATGCTAAGCTAAAAATTTTAAGAGTGGTTTAAAATTTTTAATAAGAATGGGACTGAAGAAATGGCTCAGTGGTTAAGAGCACTGGCTGTTCTTGCAGAGGACTCTGGTTTGGTTCTCAGCACCCACAAGGAAGCTAACAGCCATCTATAAATCCAGTTTCAGGGGATCCAACACCCTCCTCTGACCTCCATGGGCACTGCACAACATGGGTGCAGGTACATACATGTAGGCATTAAACACTTACACACATAAGAAATAAAAACAATATTTTCACATGCCTTTAATCCCAGCACTTGGGAGGCAGAGGCAGGCGGATCTCTGTGAGTTCAAGTCCAGCCTGGTCTACATAGTGAGTTCCAGGACAGCTGGGGCTACAGAGATACCCTGTCTCAAAAAGACCAAAAAATAATAATAATAACAATAATAATAAATATTTTTTAGAATTTTAATAAGATTTATTTCATTTTCAATAATGTGTGTATATCTGTGTTTGTTGGGGTGTGAGGGTATGTGCATGTGAGTGCAAGTGCCCATAGAGTCCAGGATGGTGGATTCCCTGGAGCTGGAGTTACATGAAGTTGTGAGCAGTCAGTATGGGTGCTAGGAACCAAACTCAGGTCCTTCGCAAGATCAGTATGCAGTCTTAACCACTGAGCCATCTTTGTAGCCCTAATTTTTTTTGGTGGGGGGTCTTTTGAGACAGGATCTCTTTGTAGCCCCGGCTGACCTGGAACTCGCTATGTAGGCCAGGCTGGCCTTGAACTCACAGAGATCTGCCTGCTTCTGCCTCCCAAGTGCTGGGATTAAAGGCCAGAGCCACCATAACTGGCTTAAGCCCTAAATTTTTAAAAAATATTTTATCTATTTATTTTATGTGTACAAGTGTATTGCCTGCATGTATATGAGTGCTCCTGTGTCTTGCAGTGCTGTGGAGGTCAGAAGAGGGCGTTGGAGTACCTGGAACTGGAGTTAGGACGGTTCTTAGCTGCCATGTGGGTGCTGGGAATTGATCTCAGGTTCTCTGCAAGAGCAGTCAGTGCTCTTAAGCACTGAGCCGTCTCTCCAGCCCCAAGCCCTTAATTTTTAATAAATTATTTTGTTGTATACCATTCTTGAGACTTTAAAGTTTAGAATCTTTTATTCAGTTGGAAAGTTAAAAGCCTTGACTAAGAACAAATGCTATTGAAAAAGAAGTAAGCAAATAGTAAAATCTGTTTACTGTCTATGAACAGTTTAAAAAACAGATTTTTTTTTTTTAGGTCATAGATTTGTGTGCACACGTGTGTGTGTGTGTGCGTGTGCATGTGTGTGTGTGTGTGTAATCTAACTTGTATTTCTCTAATTTCTAATGTGGTCAAGTATATTTGACCATGTATCTGGTTTTTGTTTTCTTTTTTGGTCTTTTTTGGGTAGCCCCAGCTGTCCTGGTACTCACTATGTAGACCAGGCTGGCCTCGAACTCACAAAGATCCACCTACCTCTGCCTCCCAAGTGCTGGGATTAAAGGTGTGTGCCACCACACCTGGCTTTCCATTATATATTTTTATTATTACTTGCTGGTATGGGGACTGGAGAGATGGCTCAGCTATTAAGAGCACTGTCTGCTCTTGCAGAAGGCCCGGATTCAAATCCCAGCACTCACATGGCTTAACTTGTAACTCCAGTTCCAGGCTATCTGATGCCCTCTTCCGTCTTCCATGGGCACTACATGACATGAGCACACTTACATGCAGATATAACACATACATATAAAATTAAAATTAAAAAGTTACAATTTGCTGGTATGAAAATTCTTAATAGATTATCATTTAAAATCTCTTCCATGGTTTATTTGTTCTTTAAATGTTATTTTCTTCTCCAAAGCAGCATAGCTAAATAATCTAAAGTCATTTTCATAAGAACTTCATGTAACACTTAGTTTTAGGTATACATATGAGCAAAACTTATTCCTAAGATTGTAAGTGCCCAATAGAGTAAATAATATGCAACCAGCAGGGAAAATACTTAAACTGCATGCTGCTAAGTACTGTGACTTTCGTTAACAAACAGAACATATTGTGACCTGAAGTAGACAATGCAAATAAGAAGTCAGAAGTTTCCAGCATAATACAAATTATATTTAGTGAATTTTGTTTCTAATATACTGATTAATGTAGGATGAAGTCCTTATGGGTAAGCCATAAGTCTTGCTTCTAGTAAGGAAATGGAGTGAATTAAAAATAAAACTACTTTTAAAGAACTAACAGAGCAATTACAGGTTAAATTGAATTAGATAAGTACATTTTTGGGGTGAAGGTCTTTTTGAGACAGAGGGTCTTCCCATAGCCCCAAGTGGCCTGGAACTCACTATGTAAACCATTATGGCGTTGATCTCACTGAGATCCACCTGCCTTTGCCTCCCGAGTACCAGAATTAAAGGCGTGCACCACCACTCTCGGTGTAGATGAGTTCGTTTATACTTTAAACTTACTGCAGTTTTGTGCAGTGGTTTATATAGAGCTGTCTAAACCCATGGTCATACAATAATGCTTGGCATTTATATTAGATGTTTTTCCCTTAATACAATAATATTCATGATTTATTAGTTTATATTTATTGTTAATATCATACAGTCGAATTTAATTAACATAATAAACACAAAAATCTGGTATCTTGGGGCTAGAGAGATGGTTCCAAGGTTAAGAGCACAGGTGCTCTTCCAGTGGACCCCAGTTTAGCTCTCAGCACCCACAGTGCAACTCACAACTGTCTGTAATTCTAGTTCCAGGGGATCTGACACCCTCTTCTGGCCCACCTTGCATGACATAGGTGCATTTACATACAAGCAGGTAGAACACTCATACACGTAAAATAAAAATAACTAAATCAAAATTTTTTTAAATCTGATATCTTGATTTATAGTAAGAACAGTTTTTGACAATTTAAAATAAATTTTAATACTAAAAATCCTGTTAGCATATTTGGTGTTGAAAATAAAGAGATATAAGGACTTTTTAAAGTGATTTACTTAATAGCCTATAGACAGGAGGAAAGGATTTCATTTTCTTCACATCCTTGCTAACACTTGTTTTTTTCTGCCTTCTTCATAGTTACTATTCTGACAGCTGTAAAATGGCTTCGTTGTGGTTTTGATTTTTCATTTCTGTGGTGATTAGTTATGTTGAACATCTCATATTCTTATTAACTGTATGTCTTTCTTGGAGCACTGTCCACTTAGGTCCTCCACTTATTTTTAATTAGGTTAGCAAATATTTTCTGTCTTTATGGTAATGCAACATCGTTTCCGGTGTCCTGGTTTTTACATTCTTTCTCAAAGTATAGACATTTCCCTGTGCAACAATAGTTTGAATTATCACACTTACTTCTTTTAGTCAATCTTGTCTAAATTGAGGTCTTAGACCCAAGATGCTGTTTCCATCTAGCCTAATTTCTGACATGGTCAGGTATCTCCAACCATGTGTCTATTCATCATTTACATTATTGCTTTCACAGAACACCTTGATATTCATTGTACATTTTTTGTGCTTTGTTGTTTGACTTTCTGGTATTTGTAAGAATTTTTGAAATTTTTGAATTTTTTCATTTGTTTTACATGTTCAAGATACCTGTCGCTGTCTTGTCTGTTTACTTTCTTTGATATATTTTTTTTCTTTTGACTAACCAGAGTTTGTAAATTTAATGTAAATTCATCAGTATTCTTTAATGTTTGGTCTTTATGTATTTAAACCACTGGAAAGTTGGCTCTGTGCATAATGCGGCTGGGCTCTTGCTCTGCACTCTCCTTGGCTTCTTACTCTTTGTGATCTCTGTGGAAAGAATTCAAACGAAACAGAGACATAACACAGCATAGAGTAGAAGATGGGTAACATATATTACAACATAAAGTGGAGCACGCTCAAGGGACAAGCATGGACAAGGACCAAGGCAACCTTTGTAGAGAACTGCACACTCTCGAGGAATGAGGGTTAACAATGGTCAAAGAGACCTTTGTGTCAACCTGCATTTTAGATAGACTTTATACAATTTTGAAAGTCTCTTAAACAGCTTTTTCTGAAGGGTATCTCACTGTCCAGGTGATTGAGAGGTCCATCTGAGTTGACTCTCATGGGAGGGGATAAAATAATGTCCTTCATCAGAAGACCTTCAGCTTAATAAATATCTTGTTCAGAACGTCATATCTTTACCCAGGGGTAGAGATATGTCTCAAATCCCAGTGTTTTGACCAGCAGTCAAGAGTCTTGCTGCTGATTATGAGGGGAGGGGCCCTCATCCCCAGCAACCTCCAAACCTGCTAATATCTAACTAGTAAGATAAAACTCCAGTTATTCTTACCAGTTGTTTCTTTACAAAATATATGCCCTTTCCCCAGTAGTGCCATGTCACCTCTGTCATAAAGCAAATTCTCATATGTGCATTAGTCTATGTTTCTTGAAGACTGATGGAATTTTTATTAAAATTACATTGTTATCACTTGATCAATTACAGAACAGTTGACTACATTATATCAAGTTATATATATGTATATACACACATATTTATTAGTATTTTGAATGTACACATAAATTTGAAGAGCAGAGCAGATTATTATTTATACACAGCAAATCACTACATGGCTCCCCTGTACAGCAGTTTTTACATCCTGAGCAATGCCCTGAGAAATAGCTGGACAAAACCCTTCAAATGAGTTTCTATTATAGAGGAGTGAATCCCCCCCCAAAAAAAATTCAGGTGTTAAGAGAGAGGAAAAGGCAGTACATTGCCTGCCCCCTTTTCCCTGAGATGGTCTTCTAGAAGTCTGAAAAGTTTTGTCTATGCCTTTGGAATATAAATTAATTACTCCAGGCTTTAGCTAAGCCCTAAATAACCAGCTTCATTCACAAATGCCTCCAGAAGGTAAATGGATTTTTCTCACTATTGAAATTTCTCATAAATTCCTTTCTATAACTCTGGCTCACACTTGGGCCCAAATTTCAGTGATACTTGTTTAGGAGGACTAATTGTACAAAACATGAAAGTAGTTTCTCTCGAATTCTACAGTCTTTTAATCCATGAATGTGATATCTTTCCATATACTTAAAATCATTTTAAAATGTTCTTCCAGGGCTAAGGATGCAGCTCAGTTGGTAGAATGCTTGCCTAGCTTGCACAAAGCAGTGTGTTCAATTCCCAGTGCTGCATAAACCAGGCATGTGATGCCTGTAATCTCAGCACTAGGCAGATAGAAGCAAGAGAATCAGAAATTCAAGGCCATCCTCAGCTACATAGTGAGTTTGAGGGCAGCCTGGGATACATGAGACCCAGTCCCAATAACAATAAATAAATTCAATAAGTGCTCATCCACAAAATTGTTTTCCTTTCCTTAAATGTATTATTGTATTATTTCACCTTTTCGGTATATTTAAATTTATGGATTTTTACTGATTTTTGTTATCAGTTTTATTCTAACATTGCCAGACTCTCATTAATAACAAAATATGTTTTAGACTTTTTTGAAGTTTTCCTATTTTTGGATACTTATGGTTTCTGTTTTTGCAACTTACTGCATTAGCTAGAAGCTCAGTACAATGTTGATTAGAAATGGTGGTAGCAGGCATCTTTACCTATTCATGACTAAAGAAAATGCCTCTGATATTTTACCACTTCTTTCTGTAATGTCATATTTAGTACTTTCAAGTTAAGGAAGTTTTTTGTGTACTTTGCTAATCATTTTTATTAAAAAATGAGTATTGACTTTATGCTAATCACTTTTATAAGGAATGAGTATTGACTATGTAATGTGCATTTTATACACTATGATTATTTCTTTAAAATTGATATAGTGAATTTCATTAACAGAGGTTTGCTAATTTGAAAACATTGTTATGTTTCTGAGCCTAGATGTCCCACATATTGTTTTCAAATAGTAACATGATAGCATATGTCGCATTATGTTTTAATAGCACAGTTCTAATTGATTTTAATTATATAGTTTAATCTTCATAACAACCCATGAGTTAGGTATTATTTTTATTCTTGTTTTACTGATAGACTGAGTACTGAGATACTAATTTGATCATTAGAAATAGAAAGTGGTAAGAGAATTGTTAAGCAGAGTCTACATGGATGAATTTTATGCATCACTGGAAATGGCTTGCTCATTTTAAAGGATTTTTAACCCTTGCTTTCATGAATGAAATTCTTTTAGTTTTTTTTCTCATATTTTAATGTTTTTGTTGTAAGATCATGCTGGACTCATAGAATAAATGAAGTGGCATGCCTCTGTTTTTGGAAAGATCATCTGTTTCTTAAGCAGAGTCTCATTGACTATTGCCTTCTTTTTCCCCCTCTCAGTATTCCAGACTGTGTCCTAAATATAGCTTTACTACATTGCTAAGTTTTAGTATGTACTAAACAATTTTGTTTCTTATTTTTAATTTTTCATAGTTTTAAATATTTTATATCTGATATTCTCATTGACTAATGAGTTATTTATATGTGTGTCTTAAATTTTTCAGTGTAGAAAATTATATTTTATTGTTGATTTATGATTTAATTACAATGCCAGAAGAACTTGATCTGTATGATAGCTCCTGTTTGAAATCTACTGAGATTGGTTTCATGTTTTAGACGTTGGCAATATTCTAAAAATATTAAATGTATATTATTGAAAAGAGTGTGTATTTCCAAATTAGGACTAAACTTCTATACGTAAGAAACTTGCTAATGGAACTTTCAAATCCTTTTATTTTATTTTTTGGTGGTGGTTGGGGAGGTGAGACAGGTCTCATTCTATTGCCCAGGCTGACCTCAAACTCAGCTGCAATCTGCCCAAGTGCTGAGAATATAGGCGTGAACCACTGGGACCAGGTTCAGATTTTCTTTCAGTCACTATTTTTTTGTCTACTTTGTTGATAAATTAATGACTGGGAAATTAAAATTTCCTACATCATGATCTATTTGCCAATTTTCCTTTGCATTTCAAGTGATTTCTTTTTAGTGAATTTTAAGGCTATCTTACAAAACTCACTAAATTTTAGAATGGTATTACTTCTTACTCTGTTGAGTTTAATGATTCCTTAGTAATACTCCCTGTTCCTAACAATGCTTTTTCTACTAAGGTATAGATTTTGTTTATCTGGTGTAACAAACTACCTTTTAACTGGTGAGTTTAGCTCTTTGTATCTGTTTTGATTGCTAATGTATATAGACATGTTTCTGTTGCTTTTTTTTTCTTCCTGCTCGTCAGTCTGTGCTTTCTTTGTGTCTTATTTTACTTAAAACATTTAAATTGTTCTAAAATGCATGTAGCATAATATTTACTATCTTAACCTTTTTGAAGTACATAGCTCCTTAGTGTTAAGTACTTGTACAATGTCTTGTAACTAATCTCCAGAATTCTTTTTTGTTTTTCAAAATTATTTCTTATTCTTTTGGTTTCTTGTTCATATTTGGTTCTACTAATTCTGGTAGTTATATTTGAATTTTGCCATGCATATTAACAAAGTCTAAACTTAATATAATCAACTATTACCAAAAATTCTTAAAAATCCTTAATTCTGTTACTTATTTCCAACTAACATTCTATTTTCCACAGATATTTTAGTATTATTTCTTACTGTATAAATTAGACATCTTAAATAATATACCCATATATCCATTTCTTCACACTCCTATGTAATCCCGTTTACTTTGTGTTGCATCATTCTTCTAAAAATATTTTCCTTTTCCTGAAATAAAGCTGTAGAGGTTCTTTTAGTGCAGATCTGATTGTGGTAAGCTTGGTCAATTTTTGCTATACTTGAGAAGTAATTTTTCTGAGTATACAGTGTTATTTTCTTGTCTTGAAAGTTTTACTGCTGTTTCTATTATTACTACTTTAAGTGTGTTTTGAGTTTGATCATCTCTTTTTTTCCTTTTTCTGACAGTGGAAGATAGGTGACTTGCACCCACCCCAGATTTCTTTTAAGATCTTTTTAGGTCTTGAGTGTTTACCCAGTTTCAATTTTTAGACATTTCTGGGTCTGAGTTTGAGTTCCTTTCTCTTGCTTCATAAATATAGATATTCCTACATTGGTGGGTCTATGTTTTAAATTTTAAAGCATATTTCTTTTATTTCTAAATGTTCTATAAAGTTTTTTTTATAAACCTAAATGGTAATTTTTAATAATTTGTTCTCATTTCCCCCATTTTATGGTGATTTTTATTTCATCAAATATTACTTGGTGGTCTTATATCTAATGATTCTAATACCCAAATACCCTTTGAATTTATTTTCTGTTGTCTCCATTATTCCCTTACAGTGGTCTTGTTCTTTGGGTCTTGGGGAATTTGTAGATAGGAGCTCATGGTTGTTTGCTGTTAATGTGTAAATAACCTGAATTTCCTTGAGCTTCTTTCTTCCAAAGAAGATATACATTTCCTTTTATTGAAATGCAAAGCATTGCATTCATCTGAGTCCACATAACCCCTCTAATCAGAAATCTCAGGGTCGGTTCTTTTCCCCTGTTACTGGTCTGGGGCGGTGTCTCCTTGGTAAGAGCAAGGCAACTCTTGTGTTTTTGTTTTTTCATGATTTATAATCACTCGATTTAATTTTTAAAAATCAATCATTAAGTTTTACTGATTATTTTGCCCATCATAGCTTATATTGTATGCGCCATACTCAGATAGCTGCCCCTGTGCACTTACCATGTCAGAATAAGGATTTGAGAGTATAAGCAGGGCACCATACCCTTGATAACTGTTCAGGAGTAGTCCATTTCCTTTAATATTTCTGAGGTGAATAATTTTGGCTCTTCATGACTTAATGATAGCAACTTTGACGGCCAGATTTGGTCTCGAGGTTGCAGAATTGGTAACATATATTCTTTTTACAAAACTGTAGGAACTAGTCCAGGCTAGTGAGCGATTAAAAAACCAATCCAAAGAGCTGAAAGACGCACACTGTCAGAGGAAACTGGCCATGCAGGAATTCATGGAGATCAATGAGCGACTAACAGAATTGCACACCCAAAAACAGAAACTTGCTCGCCATGTCCGAGATAAGGAAGAAGAGGTGGACCTGGTGATGCAAAAAGTTGAAAGCTTAAGGCAAGAGCTGCGCAGAACAGAAAGAGCCAAAAAAGAGGTTAGTAGTCAGGCAAATTCTGTAGTGTCCATGGAGCAGTAATTAAAGCTGCATTTTGAGACTAGTGAAATAATGTGTATTTCATTTGAAAAGTTATTTTGTGTTGCTAATATTATTATGAATTCCACTATTTGAGATATAAATTCCCCTGAGGAAGTATACCTTGAAAAGAATTATAGCCATGATCTGTCCTTTTCATTTTATTTCAAAGCTGGAAGTTCACACTGAAGCTCTAGTTGCTGAAGCATCAAAGGACAGAAAACTGCGTGAGCAGAGTGAGCATTATTCTAAACAACTGGAAAATGAACTGGAAGGACTGAAGGTAGTTTTTGACATTCTGACTCCTAATAAGTTTTCATCTCTTTCAGCTTGATAGGAGTGTTACCTTATTAACTGGTTTTGGTGGCAAGTAAAAACTAGCCTTCAAACTTAGCATTTAAAAAAAACTGTGTGTGTGTGTGTGTGCAGTACTGGAGTTACAGGCTGCTGTGAGTTCCCCAACATAGGTGCTGGAAATCGAACTCAGCTCCTCTTATGCAGTTTTTATTAATGACTGTTAACCTGTCCTGGGTGCATGGTCACATTATTTAATGCTTGTTTAATGTGCTGAATTGGTGAGTTAATCGTGTGATAGAATTGGTCAAAACTTACTTTTCCTCTGATGATTGAGTATTGGTGCTTGCAAATAAGTATTCTCCTCTGCTTTAAATACAAATATGACCTCCGATATTTCTTTTAACCCAAAAGAACTAGAGAGTGCATTTTAGAAGTCTTAGACATTTATTTTACTTAGCTTTCTCATCATTGTGACCAAACTGCCTGCAAGAACAACAGAAGGGAAACTGCCTTCTTCTGCCTCACTGTGTGATTCTGGGCTGGTGGTCAGTTCTGGGCTGGTGGTGGGGCAGAACCTTGTGGTGAGAACACATGGAGGAGACTCTTTACCTATGGCAGACAGGAGCAGTGAGAGCGAACATAGGAGTCCTCTAGGACACGCCTCCACCTGGTAGCCTGCTTCATCCAGCTGGGTCCTAGCTCCTTCTCTTTCACCACCTCTTAGTAATGCTGTCATGTTATGATCCCATCAAGGGATGAATCCATTTGGTAGATCAGAACCTTCATGATCTATTTGTGTTTGGAAATGCCCTCACAGACATACCCAGAAGTGGTCTATTAATCTGCTAGGTGTTTCTAAATCCAACCAAGTTAATGATCAACATTGACCTCCATCATCACAGCTTTTCTTTTCTTTTTAAGCTTTGGCCAAGTTCTCCTCAATGGTAATTTAGTATTTTTTTCTTTTTAATTTTTTAGATTAGCAAATAATAAGTTTCATCATGACATCACACACACACCCACATATATATATATATATATAGATAGATAGAGAGAGAGAGAGAGAGAGAGAGAGAGAGTCTTCATTTGAGAAAATTGGACCCTGAAGATTATATAGTCATAGTGACAGTATAATCTAAACCAGGTTTTCTAGTTCTCAGTGCTGTGTTCTATGTAGAAGTATGCTTTTTACTTTATTCTATAATAAGCATTGGTACATTAAAAACTCTGGATTAGTTTTCCTGCATGTCAAACACTTATAAATTTGATATAGCAATAGAATTACCTAGTAAGTAATGAATTTAAAGACCATATAGCTGGGTAACCTTTTCAGAGGATCATGTGATAAGAATAGAAGGTAGGAATCAGCTAGGCAGTTAGGGTAAAAAGACCCCAAAGAAAAGTAGCCAGCTTCTTGGCTAAAAGTCAAAATGTCCTTGGGCCTCTTAGCAACATACTCTGTTCCAAAGGCCAAAAATGTCAAAAGTATTTGGGAGCTCTTACCTAATCCTTAAAAGATTTTAGGGTTACCTCTTCAGAGGAGGGAATGGTAGAGTAGCAAAAAGGCCCCATTAAAAAAAAAGAAGAAGAAAGAGTACATGAAGTTATCAGAAAAAATTGATGGGGAGATATGGAAGGAGTAAGAGGGGAGGGCGCAGGCATGGATTTTATAGCATGTATGAAATTCTCAGTAAATTATTTTTAAAAAAAAAGAAAAGAAAAGAAAAGAAAAGAAAAGAAAAGACCATATACCAGGGCCTAACACATATCCAGGAGTCAATAAAGGTGCTGGAGAAATTACTCTGTCAGTAAAATGCTTGCTGTGCAAGTATGAAGACACAAGTTTCATCGCGTAACTATGTAGAAACCCAGGTGTTGTAGAGTGAATCTGCAATGCCAGCACTGGGGAGGTAGAGACAGACGGATCCTGGGGCCTGCTAGCCAGCCAACCTAGCCTGATCAGCAAGCCCATGTCCCATTGAGACACCTACGGTTGACATTTGATCTCCACATGCAGGCAAACACATGTGCACCAACCCACACATATCCCCGCATGCAAACACACATAAGAGACTCAGTACATGTTTGTTGTGATTATGGACATATTATATATAACTTCCTTAGGTTATTTTACTTTGTCTTTAGTGTATCTAAATTCACCTTTTTTGAACTATGTTGTCTGTCTTCTGTGATTCTGCACAATTTGGTGTGTTACATACAATGATGGTGATATCAGGTGGTAACAACTATAATGGCAACAGCTGTTGTTTTGTATGATAATTTGATAATACAGAAGAAGGGTAATCATTTATCAGTTCTCCAGGATTTTTTAAAATGTCACTGATCCATAAACTCTGAGTTTGGTGGCCTCTGTGTTAAAGTATAAGTAAGACACAGCTTGGCAAAGGCTGGAGCATTCTGACCCAGGGCCCTGGAACTGGGTTGTGGGTGGTACTGTCCCTGCTTTACCAGCTCCATTCACATGCTGTTCTATGTGGTTCTTGCTATGTGAAGATAGTGTCACAGTGTCAGTATGTGGGAGATTATTTTTTATATTTCAGTAGAGGTAATATAATTTGTTCTCACTAAGCCTTCTACTTTTTAAAATTGAATTTCTTGTGTATTTAATAGAGAACAGCTCAAACTATCTTAATCATCTTTATACCCGTCCCCACTGGCACCCTCCCAAAGCCCCCCTCCCCAACTAGAGCCCATATATTCTGTCATCCCTGATAAGGCCCACTGGGTTGTCAGTGTCCCCCATCATTCCCCAGTGCAAGTCTGTCTACTAAGTCTAGGCAGCCTATCTAGAGTCCCTTGTTTTAGGAAGATTAGCTCTACCTATTCTTTCTCATAATATTTTGATAAAGTAGAACTTTTGGTCAAAAGGCATGTAAATATAATTTTAAATCCTCTTTTAGCTCTTTTAAAGATTGTAAACATTTTTATTCCAGTAAGAATATTTTTCAGTAGAACCTGGTAGCACAAGGTTGTAAGCTCAGCTGCTTGGGAGGCTTGTGAGTTCAAGGCCAACCTAAGCAACTTAATGAGACCCTGAATTCAAATGAAAAGTACAAAAAGAGGACTAGAAGTATAACTCAGTGGTAGAGCTTGCCTAGTGTGGGAAGCTCTAACTTCAATTCAAGTACCACAGAAAATGAAAAGAATGATTTTCAGTAGATGTAAAGAGAAATAAGAAGGTGTATATTAAGAGTTAGAAACCAATATCCTACTTCTAACAGTGGGTGTAGGATATTGAACAATAATAGAAGGTTGAGGTCTTGAACCACATTATGACCAACTAGACCTACCAGATATAAGTAGACTTTTACTCAACAGTAAAATATATGTTATTTATTATTATTTTTATTTTTAGTCCAAGTCTTACTATGTAGTCATAGCTGGCCTTAAACTCAGAGATCTGCTTGCTTCTGCCTTCTGAGTACTAGAATTAAAAAACGTGTGTAACTACACCTAGGCTAGAATACACATTCTTTTTAAGTGTATGTGGTAAATTCCAGAATTGACCACATATTTGGCCACAAAACAAATCTTAAGAAATATGAACAAAGATTGAATTCCTGCAATCTTCTCTAGCCATAATCTTTTCTAGCCACAGTGGAATGGATCTGGAATCTTAACAGGTGAGGAAAAACTGCAGTGTTCAACAGTATGCGGACATTCAGTGGCATGCTCTTCAAAGCCAGTGGTCCAAAGAAGAAATCACATGGAAATTGGAAAATACACAGAAATGAAGGAAAATGGAAGCCTAACATGCCAGAACTTACAGGATATTCTTAAGGCGGTGTTCAAAGAGCTCTAGATGACTGTTTAAAAACAGAAGAAAAGTCTCAAATCAATACCTAACTTTGTGCCTTCAGGAACTAGAGGAGAAAAAGAAAGAAAAGGAAGAAAACTGAACTCAATGATGACAGAAGGAAAGACAGCTATTAGAGCAGAGCACTGGGGGTGGTGGTACATGCATGACATCCAGCATTTAGAAGGTGGAGGAAAGAGGAACAGTAATTCAGGTCATCTTGAACAGTGTGTTGGAAGCCATCCTGAGCTACATGAGTCCCCGCTCAAAACAAAAAATTAAAAAAAGAAATTGAGCAAAATTAGATTAAATAGAGAATAGAAAACAATAGGATCAATGTACCTCTTTCTTAGGGAAAATTAACACAATTGATAAATCATTATTTAGACTGAACAGAAAGGTGAGAAAAGAGGGGGAGAAAAAGCAGATGGTTAGAAGCAGAAACAAGACTGGAGGGCTGTTTTGGCCAACAGAAAGTAAAGGAACTGTAAATGCTGTGCACAGCTACATGCTAGCAGAATAGGTCACCCAGATGAAATGAAAAAATGTGTAGGGCACAGATAACCAAAAATGACTCAATTGTAGCTGGGCATGGTGGCACACACCTTTAATCCCAGAACTCAGGAGGCAGAGGTAGGTGGATTTCTGTGAGTTGGAAGCCAGCCTGGTCTAAATGGTGAGTTCCCGGTCAGCTGGAGGCCATAGGGACACCCTGTCTCAAAAAAGACCAAAAAAATAAAAATAAGAAGATTCAAGTGAAATAGAAAATCTCAATAGGTGTATACAAGGAAAGATACTGAATCACTGATCAAAAATCTTTTAACAAAGAAGAGTTCAACACCAACCAGACTGTTCCACTAGTGAGTTGTATCCAACATTTAAAGAACAGCTAGTGCCAGGCCTTCTGTGGTAGTCACTTTTCTGTCACTTTGACAGAACACCTAAGGAAATCAACCTAAAGAAGGAAGTAATTATTTTGGCTTCTGGTCTCAGAGGTTTCAACCCATGGTTACTCAGCTCTGATGATAAGGCAGAACATTGTGGTAGACAGCATGTAATGGGCCAAGACTATTCACCTCATAGCAACTAGAAGGGGCACAAGCACCAGGAAGAAGGTGCCTCCTTCAAAAGCATGCCCTTGTAACCTAATTAGGCTCTACATCCCACTC